TTTTAAGCCTGATGCCATCTTTGTAGAGAAAAACTAAGCTTATTTTGGCTATCTTATTTTATTTATTGCAAAACTTGACTCGTTCAAGAATATTTAAAGATTTAATTGCGTGAATGCCATTGTTTGGAATTCTGGGTTGAATAGATAGAGATACGCTCTCATATTATCTTGATTTACAGATGTCAACCCTAGGTATATATATATATTTTTTAATTCATCATCTTGGTTCACTGTTTCAACGTCGCTTTTTTACAATCTGATAACATTCTGGACGCACTCAAAAATTTGGAACGAGATATGGGTCATGAAAATTTCAGATAACACGTGGGAAGTCGCTGAAAAAAACCCTAATAATAATTCCGTCTCTTGAAAAACACGATAGTTCAACTATCTGTGAAGGCATGAAAATATCGAAAAAGTAGAGCAAAAACGCTTGTTTCACTAAAGAATTTGTGACTGAGTGAGGGCTACAAACCAGGTCAAATTTGCCGAAAAATTTTTCAATTTGATTGAGTTTTAAACTCTAGTCTGCTCCCGAGTAGTTACAAAATTTCTACAATCTTTAGATATAAACCTCTAACTACATAGAGCACGTCAAAAAAAATATGATTCGTCGATTTTCATTTTTTTTTACCTAGAAAATAATATTCAACTGCTAATTACGTATAGCTAGAAGAGTTTTCGAAAAAAGTCATTTTTTTGTTTCGGAATTTTTTGATCGAATAGCTTGAAATTTATTACACGCATAAAAGGAAAAAAATAAAAACGTTTTCCAGAAAAATTGATTCTATCGGATATTACAAAATCGAAACTCATTCAAAGTATTATTGGCATTTTTTTTAGTATTAAGAAAAGTTGTAAGTTAGCGGAAATTTCCTACAAATCTTATCAGAAGATCAGAGATAAAAGAAGTTTTGGTAGAATGTTCAACCAAAACTCTCAACCCTCACCAATCATATGTAGAAACACAAAGTTAACCCCCACCCCCACTCACACATCCTATTTTGATTATTTTTCATTTTTGTGGAGACTGACAATGAAAACATAATATAACCGATTGTGATGTATGAAAATTCAGCTCGCATTATTTTTCATAAAAATCCAGCGCATTTATCAATTAAAATGATCTTTTTATCTTTTTGATCAAAAAATAATCGATACAAAACTATGATTAATATTTAAGGTTATTAACAGTATAAAATAGGACATCCTAGGATAGGTCACTTAGGGGGGGGGGGGGGTGCTAATCTGGTTAGTGGCATTTTTGCTTGAAGTGTTAAACTAATTTTTGTCCATTCATAGGATAACGAACTTAACACGTTACCTGGACATATCAGTTAAAATATGTTCTAACAATTGAAAAAAAAGCGAAAGCCTTGAAATTGTATGGCTCAATAATTTTAGGACTCCCGCATAAAAAAAATTAAAACAAAAATCTTGCTGTGTTTTGAATAATTATGTTATTTTAACTGGTCTCATGCGACTTAATATCTGGTTTGATGTTTTTGGAATTAGAGTGTAGGACCGTTTAAATAAAAAAGACTACACGTGTCTTAGAAAAAAAATTATTTATTCATATGAAGCGGTAGTTGCTCATCTGCACGGGTCTAAAATTATAATGAGCAGATCTGACCAGTGATTTTTCCCCAAAGAGCAGGAGTAGACAAGGACGGGTCTGGATCAGATATTTTCAGGCCTGGTTAACACATCTTCAAGCCTGGAAAAATTGCAAATAACAAATTCGATTTTTGTTTCTCTTCAATTGAATATTTGTTTATATAAAAGTCGCGGTCTCTATGCAAAGTTCTGTTACTTTTATAATGAGGCAAACTAAAACATAATTTTACTCTTTCAGTTAGAAGTTTAGATTTAATCTTGTAAACATCCTAGCGGACAAGCTTCATGTCTGTGCGGTTCTGAACTTGACCTATGCATGCTAGCTTCACACGTGACCAAGTCTGATTCTGGTCCTGAGGTTGTCAAAATTCATATCAGTCTCAGAAGTGAAACCACCCATGTTCAAATGAAACATGGATCAAATCTGCACAAGATCTGAAATAAATAAGATTTTAAGCAGAGTTTTTGTGAGGTACGGGTAGTGCTTTTTCTTTAAAATACATCATCTCATTCACAATATTGAGTTTTTCAAAGTTCAGAGTGAAATATATTTTTGAAAATAAGGCTGCTTCGGTCAGTGACAAGACCTTTCAATTCTGAAAATCTATTGGTTAAAACAGTTGTCTGGGATTGTGTTTTTTTGGCACGAGAGATGGTCACATTCAATTTGATAACAAACTCTACAAATTTAACGTGGTAAAATGTCCGATCATGCTCCGAATAGCGTTTGAAGAGATTCAGCACTTTGATCAAAACATCTCATCTTCCGGGTGCCGATTTGGCACAATCTTGTCTCTATTTTCCCCCTCACCTCACATAATCATCAGGTTTATGATGAAACTAGGGATTTTACAAGTTAAATATGAAGACCTAATATGTTTGTATTGACCCATTCAGTCCGTATACCGATTTCTGTAAGAATCGGACAAAGTTAGCAGAAAAATTGCTCATGAAAGTTTGCACGTGCGAGGGTGAGGAAAAAGAGCCCACTTAGGTAATGTTGATTATGCTTATACAACAACCAATGGTGTTTTCGTTTTATATTTCCTATTTTTCTCAACAAAATTGATTAACTTTTCATTACTCTGCATTAAATGTTAAGCAAAACAAGACAGCAAAAACAATAATTATATTTTATAGTCCACCTCAAGGACATATTCTGATGAAAGCAAACTTGAAGCGAGCCTGGAGAAAAAATTAGGCACGTTTTTTCGGATCTACTTAACAATCGCCCCCTATGGTATCTACTAAAGACTCTCCACCCCTATAAATAAATACAATAAACTAGCACTAGAGCTCGTATTGAGAATTCGAATTTTGCTGCATTCTGATTGCTCGAAAAATCTACCATTTTGATCAACTAATCAATCTCCTTTCTTTTCTTGAAAGGGGGGGGGGCGCAATTGTTGAGTAGATTTTTTGTTTTGTTTAACTGCCCATGCTGTATTTTGGTTTCCCCTGGTGTTTTTTTTAAATCAGGTGGGATTTTGTGTTATACTGGAAGATAACCACTTGAATTTTTTACACTGAGTCGGAACAGAGCTTTACAAAACAAAAATTCATAACAAACATAGCATGGCAAGTTAGCAGACAAAAAAGAGACAAAATCCACCAATCCAAAAAATATTTGTACTTAAAAATTTTAAAAAGTGATTCTTACACCAAATTTTCTACACGTGTCTTAACGAATGGGTTTCAACTCAAAGAATTTATGACTTGAAATAGAATTTTCAGCGTTAAAAAACCACTCATTTGTGTTTAGCGGCGGTCATTACTTAGACCTCCAACACTTTCGTAGACGTTCGTTGAGCAGAAAACAAATTTATTATCAAAATATGAATTTGAAAGCCCTGGAAATCGGAAAACAACTGCTGAATAAAGTTCTTGCTGTGAGAATCTGAATAAAATAATCGCTTCGCAAGCTGAGCCAAAAAAAGCGTAAAAAGCACGCGTAAAAAGATCCTGAAAAAATTTCCCTGCCTTTCTGTCGCTTTTAATGGTATTTTAACGTAGAAGTAATTTGGGTATCGCTGCAAATAAATTTGCTGTATTCTGTGTTTGTTTTTCTCTTCACTTTTCTAAAAGATTCAATAATCCAATAATATTTTGTTCCAGTTTGTGGTGAATATGCGCTCAGAAATTTTTAAGTAGATGTTGTTCCGACTTTCTTAACAAAAGTAACAGAAAATTTGTGCTGCGGGTGGTTTTTTCTTCAGATAACTTCCGAATTTTTAACTAGACATTTTTGACGAAAATTTTTTCATATCCTTTAACAGGTATTGTTGATCTGAATTAAACTTGAAAGTTTTTTACCTGTGATCAATTTTTTGTTAAGTTTCGGGGGTTTAAAGTTGCCATGTTGGCATGTATGGGACAATTAATTCGCGCAGAGAGCGGAGATTTATTATAACTTAGAAATCGTTCCAAATTTGTCGAAGGAAGCTTAATTGCCATAATTGATTTATTACTAGAAGCAAAATCTATCACTTTGTTTTTTATATGCGGGGCGCTGACTTTCGCAAAAAATATCAAATTAAACAAAAAAAATGTTTTATTTTATAGCATTTATTTTTTTTATGTTTTCTGCTGCCCCAAAGACTTTAAAAAGCAGTCGGAACATTCAGGGCTTCGCCCTGATACGAGCAGTCTTGTTTATTTAAAAACGGTTACATGACAAAAGATCCCTTACCTTAAGATCCCAAACGAGAAGATCCCAGTCAATAAGATGCCATTCCAAAAGATACCTGTTCTAAAATCGCCCACGACATAAGATACCATAATAAAATAACAAAGAACCTGAGAATTGAAAATAAAGCGGTTAATCGATCAAAGCAAAAACAAAGCGTCGGTTAAAATCAAAGAAACGGCAAAAGTTTTGGTGCACAAATTTCGAAGATAAATGACCTTGCTAATCACTTGGCCTTTAAATGAAACTCAAACTTCAAAACAGCTTAGACTATAATTGAACTTGAAAAGGATTTCCAATAAAACAAAACCAACTTTGCTAAAAATGGCCTGATTTTCCAGACAATTCAAGTCGGTACAAAATTGAAATTGAGTTTTTGCAAAATTCTAAAGCTTTGAAATCATTTTCATTACGAATCACTTGCCATTCTATTTGATAAAAAATATCAATTCTCAAATGTGATCAATTTTTTTTCGCTAGGCGCAATACTCAAAGGGCCGTCAGGCCCCTACCCCCAACCTAGCCTCCCGTAAATAAGAGCAATTGCTCTGGGATCAAATTGCTAGAGACAGCATTTTCGAATGCGAGTCGTAGTATTGCGTTTCGGCGTTCTCCGGGAGGGTGCAAGGAGACGTCTATAAAAAAGTTGATCAAACAATTTTAAATTTAGGAAAAATTAGGCAAAAACTATAACAAAATTTAATAAGTTAAATGGGCAAGTGAACGGATATAAGACAATAAGTTAGAGTCTGTGTATGAACTTGTTATCTGCTGAATCGCGGTACTTCTTCCAGGATAAGTTGATAGTGCCGCTGGATGCCTTCAAAATATTGAACTTTTGATTGTAGGAATCCAGTTGAATTTTTTCGAGAAACGTATGTATTGAAGGATGGTTGCCTTGAAACAAAGCGGTTACACCTAGAAGCCACCCTTCAACTGCATTTGTGGTTCGGGCTAGACCACACACAGCGTTTTGATAATGGTTCCAAAGAGAAATAGGAAAAAGTGTTTTTCGGCCAATCAAATCCCCTCTAATGTACGTTTTTCCGAAATTAAGCAGTGAGCTCGTCTAATTTTTCGAGATCGTTTTGTGAAATATCCAGTTTGGTTGCCACACTGCATATTTCCTCAACGACTAGGTCGAACCCGATTTCCACTTTTGACTCCGGAACAAAACTAAGCGCAGGAATCATATTCAGCGCTAAAACTAGCTCGCTGTTTGATTCGTACGTCTTTTTAAGGCCCAATTCGGATATTTTTCGCATAAAGCTCTGACAGAGGTGAAAATAGCATCCCTTAATGTCAGTTTCGTAATGAGAGGTAAAAGCACTCAGAGCCGCAATTTCAAAGTCGATCAAAATTTTTCCGGGGTTACGTCACCGATAAGCGATTTGAGTGCGATTAGGAATTTGTTATAGGTTGATAAGCGCTTATTGCTAAGCAGAGCGTATACGCAAGGTGGATAAAACCCGCCAATCTGGATGTGTACAGTGTACAGCTGGTAAAACTGACTGGGGCAAATTTTGAAAGTACCGTCTACAAGCCAGGTTTTGTTGTACAATTTAAGTGCATTGAGGTTCTCAAGGTCGCCAAAAATTAATATGCGTTCCGTATCTTGTTTTCCGCTATCAAAAAGACAAAATTGCTTAAAATGATCGGGTATTTCGAAATGGCGGTCATCTGTGGCAATAGTGGGCAGGGATGTTGTTTGTTTACTTCTGTTTAAAGTTCTCGTTAGCGCTGAACGGGAGGGCAAAGACAGTTGGGTTGCTTTTTCGTCCTGCACCAATTGCAAACTAGCTGCGATTATCTGGCTGTTTACTGGATTTAATTGACTCCTAACTGTCTCCTTCATTTGTTGAACTAGTTGCCGAGATTCTGAGCGTCCTGCGTTGAGCTCATGACTATGCTCGTTGCTCTGTGAGATTATATCGCTCCCAGAAGTGATTAAAGTTTTCGGGCATTTATACGATCTCCATTTGCTGCAGCGCCAGTGTGTCGTTGTCTTCGTATCGCGTTTCTTTTGAAATTCATGGCCATCAAGAAAAATCAGAGTTTGGCCTTTTTGTGAGGTTCCCCAAGTAAAAGAATTCATTTTTGACTTATCAATGAGTTAAAGAGGGAGATAAGGAATGCAGAGTGTATACATTTTCAATTAAGTTGTTCTAATTCAATGCCATATTAACACTAAATTAAACACATGTTGGCACTATGTTAATCCCAAAAATGAGTCCAGTTTAAATTTAGTTATCTTAAATTTGCATTGTTTTTCAATAGCGCGAACCTAATTGAGGTATCATTACTCTAGATTTATTTCTGCTTACACTTTGATCATGATTTTTGTTCATAATTCATGGGATCTTTTTAATTGGCATGGGATTTTATGGTATGGGCGATTTTTATACAAGGGATCTTTTGGTATGTTATCTTTTGTCATGGGAGCTTTTGGTATGGTATCTTTTGTCCTGACACCTTAAAAACAGTTTGTGACGAAGTATAATTGTTATAATTTTTATAAAGTCGTTCTTAGATAATGACGAAAAATTTGAGCCCTATGTGGTCACTTTGAGGTTGACTATTGTTATATTTCACGAAAACAATTTTGGGTACAATTTTTGAAATTTGGCTCTGGTGAATACTCTCAAAAAAGTACCCAAAAATACCAATTTCTTCCAAAAAATATCCTGCCCGCAGCGCAGACAGTTTTGCCAAATCAGCTCTGCTTGAAAGTGCTATATGACTAGCCTATAAAAGGGTAATACTTCTTCCTCCTTCAGAAAATAGAAGAAATAGGTAATAAACCATTTTTTCCTCCATAAAACTGCTTCGCACGCATTGTCTTTTACATTTTCTGTCTTTTCAGCTGACCTCTTAGATTCATTGAAAATCATGCAGTCGTTTGTTAGATTTTTTTGAAGACTACTTAACCACCGGATTAGTTGGTCTGGTCTCGCCCCGTTCTGTTGCTTAGTCACTAGAAAACAAAATTGAAACTTGTTGAATTGATTATTAATAGAGTGATTAAATAACATTCAGCGAATATGTGCTAAGAAGCAATTGAACATGGTTTTGGGAAGGCAAATATTGTTGAGTAAGTTTCATTCAAATTTTGGGGGCAAAGGCAAGGAAAGCTGCTGGGCCGATAGAAGTTACAGCTGGAAATAACCCCACCCAGGGTACGATGCAGCTCCATCCAGTCGAATCTTTCCAGTCGTTGAAGGGAATTCGCATCATCCCCATTTCCCTTTTAAATCCTCTGAGAAAGATTTTCAACTGAGTCTCATTGTCCGTATATGATGCGGTTTGAAAACTGTTTGCTATCAGGAGGAGCAAAGCGTTTAGACACGACATACCAAAGGCAACAAGACCGAAAGCTTTTGGGGTACACAGCGCAATCATAAAGACAATCATGGTGGCAATCGCTACCAGATATTCTAATATGTAGAATACTAAAGCTGCAACTTTGTTTTTTGGTTGTTCGGTTTGTAAGAAGTCGTAGTCTACACATTTATAGGAATCATCGCCTGAAGGCGGAGAAAAGGTGAAGCAAGCGGCATAAACAACACTTTGAGATATTTTGTAAGTATCGCTGTCGGCCACAGTAAAGATCTGACCTTCAGGGCCCAGAGCAAGAAATGAGAAGATTAAACCAAGTAAAACCAGTCCTGTGCCAGAAACGCAAGCTGCAATTTTAGCCCCTGATGCCATTCTGAGAAAAAGAACGATATACTAACACTGCTAGCGACTACTGAAATAAAACTACAATAAAAATTAAGTCTTGTTTGGGCATTGTTGGGTATTGTTACTTCAAAGGAAGCAATATTTTCCCACGTTAAATGTTTAACATTGGTTTACAAGATAAATATGGGATGGTGATTAGACAAATTAACGTTACAATGGGTCCATTTAGGTACTGCGAAACTCTCAATGAAATCTACTTTGTAACCATTTCTAATTTCAGTGAAAATTTTAACTTTTCTATCACCTCAATTTTGGAGAAAAAAAATCATGAATAATATCGCAAGCATGTTTTGTAGAACCCTAGTAAGTTTAATTTTGGATTTTGTGGTAACCTCTGAAAAATCTATGTGTATGATTAAAAATCTATGTGTATAAATTTTTTGAGTTTTTATGCATATTTTTCATCACCTTTCAATGCCCATATTAATGAAAGCAGTTCTAAACTAGTATTTGTAAACCAATTTTTTTATTGATAAAAGTATCTCTATAAAGTATTACTAGCCAACCAATCATGTTCCATCACTAACATTGACACTTAATTGTATGTGCCGAAACTACTTGTAGTTTCAGCACCAGAACAATTTGAATGAATCTTAAACTACAGTTGTTCTCCTTCTGGATCATGTCCAAGAACTAACTCGCAAATACCAGTATACACTAGATCTATTGAGACTAGGAGATATAAGAGTAAGATTAAGATTGGTAATAGACTAAGAAGTTGCACGAACCTATCAGGCCGAAAATTAGATAGCGTGACGAACAGACGGTGTACCTTATCTGAAGTTACTCTATGAGCACACTATCTCATACAAAACTCATCTGGTGCGACCAAAAGTCTCAAACATGAGCTTAACTAACATAGATTTAGACAATCAGATTTAGAATCAGAGAAAAATGAAATTGCAAAAGTTTAGACGGAATTGACAATTTAATAGAAATTTCTCCACTTATCAATACATCTACGCCGATATTTCAAACAACACGGCAAATACCAGGTACTGCACACAGACCAAGATCAAGGCGTGAACAACGGAAAGGAGACGGATCGATCTACTAAATGATCATACAACGAAAACCGGAACAAGTTTTTAGATGTATTGATAAAAAAATAAAATCTTTGTGCAGTAAATTTAAATTTTCAGAACACTTTATGCAGTAAATTTAAACTTTCTTTCATTAAAATGAAAAACAATTGAGGAAATTTTCATCAGGAACTTATTTGGTGCTATACCTATTAATTAAACAAAAACGAATGATCAAAAAAATACAAATGTCGTTCTTTCCAAAATCTGCCGTAAATAAAAATTTTGATTATGAAGTTTATTGAATAAAAAATAAAAAAATTAGTTACAATGAAAATTTATCGTTACTTACAAAAATTAAATACAAATAAGCTTTTCTTCATTCCAAGTATATCACCTAAAATTTAACCACATGTATTTAAGAAACTATTCTTATTTGAACTCTAACTCTTAAATTTTCTTTAACTGAAATTTCTACATACAAATCTGTCAAGCCTTATCCTTGCTTTTCAAAAATTCAATTTTATTTCATAAGCAGGCTTTCAAGGCTTTCCTTGGATCTTAAGCTTCACTTAAAATAAAATTGTCTAACGACCTCAAACGTCAGTTCACTCTCCAACCCTAATAAAGACCCAGGATTAATAGAAAACTTTGAACGACTAACCATTCTAAGTATGATAGACAGTGAAAAACTTCAATTACTCATCGTTCGATTGAGAGTCCTTCCTCTTAGATGACCGAGGCTAAAATCCTTAACACAATTTAATAAGTTTTAAAATAATATCTTACGATCTACTTGTGTTCTAATTATACAGGAACCTTGCGGCTTGATTTACTATTCTCCAACCCTTGATCACAAATCAAACCTTTAGGTAAGGTTAAGTAAGTACATCATCTTTTAGATCTAGTCAAGAGAAAGTAAAAAATCATTCTCACAAATTGATATA